CTATTACATAGGAGTGAAATGAAAATGATTTCTAATACCACCCAATTCTAATACTGCAAACAAACATGCCCTGAAAGTGTTTGATAAAATGTTTATGTTGATTAAGGGTGTTAATTGCATTGAATATGTTAGAACATGCTTGGAATTAATGTTGTGAAACGTTAGTATATGTCTTATGATATATTGACATCGAGGACTTGGAAATGTTGTGAAAATTGAATATTGTTTATATTGTGCTCTTGACATATTGAACATGATATATAAATTACAATTGTACATTACATTGCATATGCACGGAAAAACATCACAATCGTGGGCATTTAACATGGGTGTGGGTGTGGGTGTGTGTATAGTTTTGATCAAACACCATCCTTGATGGGTTGATACGTGGGCTCAAAAAAATTGGATTTAGGTTCAACTGAGTCACATCGATTGCATTGAAAATAAGGGTTGGAGTTAGCAAGAATGGTTAGATTATCCTTGAGTGCAAGATTTGATGATTTTGATACACACTCTGTGGTATTGAGTCCATAAAGTGCGTCGGTGTACGCAAAACCAATGGTGGAAGTCCATAGATGCCGTGTTGATTGGGTACTTGTTGGTAGAAATCCATAAATATCCACCCCAAAAAAGACTATTAATTTATAAATAGTCATTGAATGTATAATACAAATGACGGGGGTGTAGAATGTCCAGATTCATACGCATAACATTGTATGTGTTATGAGAACCAATGGAGGGATCGGGTTGCATTGCATGTGTAAGTCTCACTCATAACATGACATGACATTGTGACATTCATGATTGAATTGTATATTCTTGGATGGATGCTTGTTTGGTTGTTAAGTTGAATGTGAACATTTCATATGCATCTGGATTGGGAAGTTGCCTTTTTAGGAGATACTCTATTGAACGTAGCTCACCCCTTTATGGGAACAATATTTCAGGTGCGGGACCAGTGTTGGTGGACGTCTTTCACATGCGTCCTTGTTGAAAAGAGGCCAGAATGTGGTTTTAAATTACATTTTTGTAAGGAACTTGTTTAATTTATTTTGAATTGTAAATGGTGGTAAGATAACATGTAATGAACTCTTATAGATGATATTTTGTGCATACTTAAATGTTATGTAAGTTTGGATGAACTCGGTATGAGATTGGGTGAGTTGAAATTGTAAAAGGAAAGATTTGAGCGAAAACTGAGCCCTGGTATCGATACCAAGTTGATTAGGTATCGGTATCACGATTCTAGTGGGCTTAGGTACCAGTACCAAGGTTTGAGGTACCAATACCTCGTTGTTGAAGGCCCAGGTACCAGTACTATGTTTACTATTACCGGTACTTGGCAAGCAGAATGATCGAATACTGGTACCAAGTACACGAGGTACTGGTAACTCTTCCAAAATTTTCAAAAATTTAAAATAACCTTGCTAAGCCTCTAGGCCTAGAGCATTCTTGTTTAAAGGATGTAATTAGAGTAATATTGATGACAAATTGATTGATATTGGACCTTGGGATAATCGTGTGATGACATGGTGTCGAGTTTATGCGGCATACACGGGTACTTCCGCAGGTTGATGGATGATCAATGAGTTAAGAAAGAACCCCAAATTTTGGGGGTCACATTCATGGTCTGGGTTCACAATCTAATATAATTAGTGTTATTCCGTCATGTTTCATTAATACTAATTGCCCGAACAAATGGATCTCCTCTAGGGAGCCGTCAAGCATTCATGGTTTGATCCCCGACTATTAAGTGCATCACATTGGAGCTCGGAACATATGTTCGAGCTTTCATGAGGAGGAAACAGATCCCCTCGGTATCCCTCAAGGGCTCCCTATCGGCACGATGGCCATTAATGCCTCTTAATGATGAATGTCTTCACATTCTTTGAGGATTAGACAACTCATTAATAATCTGTCAAACCAACACAACCCACAATAGTGAGCTTCCAGATTTCTTGTAATGTTGGATTTCGAGTGACATACTCGGCCCCTTTTGTTATAACTACTTGGCTCTTATTTCTTACGAATTGTGCATGTTCTAACAACTATGTACATGTTAGGTTCTTATTAGCGAGTCGTCTAATGTCTACTCATGAAATTTACTTTAAAAGGAATAAATTAAGATTGAAATCATATAGTTGATATTAACCCCCTTCTCCTTTAACTAGATTAACGATCCAAGCTATTATGAGTAGGAAAACAGATCCCCTCGGTATCCTCTGAGGGCTCCCCGTCAGCACGATGACCATTAATGCTTCCTAATGATGACTATGTTCACATTCTTTGAGGATTAGACAACTCGTTAATAATCTGTCAGACCAACACAATCCACATTAATGAGCTGCCAGATTCCTTTTAATGCTAGGTTTCGAGTGACATACTCGGCCCCATTTGTTATAATTATTTGGCCCATATTTCCAACAAATTGTGCGTGTTCTAACAGCTGTGAGTGTCTACATTTTGGGTTTTTATTGGCGAGCCGCCTTATGTCCCGTTATGAAATTTATTTAAAAATGAATAAATTAAAATTGAAATCCTATAGTTGATATTAACCCCCTTCTCCTTTAACTAGATTAACGATCATTCTCACAAAAAAGCCTCTAAAAACCAAAAAAAGCTGTGTCACACCAACCAAATAAATTAAGAAAAATTTCATCCACACATCCTCTAATTAGATCTAAATTCAATGACATACCCTTCCAATTTTGAAACTTCACTTTCACCCCCTGTTAGTGTTCGTCGGGTTACGGCATTAACAACAATTGTTAGTTTACGTAAATACCCCTAAAAATTTTATAGAGTAAATTTTATCCACATCCTTTATAAATACACATAACTTTAACGACACCCCTAACCTATCTTTAATAATACTCTCTCCAAATTCTGAAATTTCAATGCATTCCTTTTTAGTTTTATTATATTAACCTTTAGGTTGATCAACTTAATATTTAATTTTATCAAATTAATGTTATTTATTTAATTTAAACTAAATTAACATTTCATCTCATTAAATTAACACAAAATTGTTATTTAATTTTATCAAATTAGCATTTAGTTATATTAATTTAATATTTTATGTCATTAAATTAATATTATTTCTTTAATTTAACATTAAATTATTATTTAATTTTATCAAATTAACACCAAATTTTAAAATTAAATTAAAATTTAATATATTAAATAGAAGAATAATTTCGATTAATTTAAGATTTAACTTTATCAAATTAGTGTCAATTATTTAATTTAACACTAAATGAACATTTAATTTTATTAAAACAGCACTGAATATAAATATCAAATTAACACTAAATTAATATTTAAATTTATAAAATTAAGACCAAATTTATTCAATTATTATTAAATTTTATCAAATAATATTTAAATTTTACATATGAAGGGTGATATATGAAAAAGTGGTCAAATGATGTTGTAGAAGAAAGATGATAGCAGAGGAGTTAGAAATTGATGACATTTTGACATAAACTTTATCGATTGTAATTTTTATTATAAAAAAATTATTTTTAACTATAAAAAATATAAAAACTCAATTATGTTACCAAATGAGTAATAATTTGATTACTAATATTATAACAAAATTATTATGCAACGCTTTAAAATGATAAAAATTCATTGAGATAATATAATGATAGAAATCACGTTTATGCCAACTTCTCATTCTCTATGTCTCTACCATGGCCAACAGTTAAAGAAGAAATCAATCCAACAATAATATATCACAACATAATGATATAACAAAATGGAAAAAAAATGTGCTTGAATAAAATTAAAAAAAAATTACATGAAAAATTTTAAAAATCTCTACAAGAAAAAAAATAAAAATATCTGCATGAAAAAAAATACATCTAAAAATTTTAAAAAACATGCATGAAAAAAATTAAAAGTATCTGGATGAAAAAAAATTAAAAAAAAAACTGCACGAAAAAATTTTAAAAAATTGCATGAAAAAATTAAAATATCTGCATAAAAAAAATTGCATGAAAAAATTTTAAAATTTTTTTATGAAATACATTTACAAACTTGCAAGAAAAAAATAAATTTTTTTTTTAACCAACGTAGGTAGTGATCAATCACTGTAGAGAACGAGTCGAAGAAGAATGACTAGCTTCAATCCCCACTCTCTTCCAGCAACACCATATCATTTTTGACCTTTAGCAACAACAAAGTGTATGGTTTATATAGTGAGGAGGAGGGTTGAGAATATTTTAGTATATTTACATAAGAAATGGTAGTTTTAATATTTTTAAAAAATTTATTGTTAAACCGTTATTTTTTGTATTGGTAAAGTTAAAAATTACCGTTAAGGATGTCTTTCACTTGAAAGTATAAACTAGAATAGGATGCAGTAAAGTTTGAGAATCAAGAGGGGTGTTATTGAATTTAGACTTAAATAGAGGGGGTGTGGATGAAATTTTCCAAATAAATTATAACGGTCAACCTGAATTCGAAAAAGGCTAAACTTTAACGGTCAAAACCGCAACATGAGCTGATCTTTCGTCAATGAAAACCTAACGCACCCACACCCCCACACTATGCCCTCACCCCCCCAGTCAACGCTTTCTACACATTTTCTTGTGTATTTTAACTTGTGTGTGTGTGTGAATATCTATAGTATAATATTTGAATGCTAGATTTTCGAGCTCTTTAAGGGTTCCTTCACGAGATAATCGCCTTCTCTGAATTACTCTCTTAGTTAACTCCGCTTACGAGCTTTCAAAAATATGTTAGGAAGCTTTGAGTTTAAGATTTCCCAGCTCCAAAGCTAAATATTGAGCAGTTTTAAGCAAGGTTTTAGAGTAACTTTTAAGGTTCTTCAGATCATTCTTAAAGTATTCACAGTTAGCTGAATTAAGAGTTCCACAGTTTCCCCGGGTATCCGTTCAGTTTTCGATCATCCTTCTGAGACATTCAAGCCTGGTAAGGAGTCTTGTAGCTTCTTTCTTTTGATTGTCTGAAATTCTTATCTGGGTTTTTGCTTAGTATCATTCACATAGTTTACTTTCTCCGTGGTCAAAATTAAGATTATATTTGTGGAGTCTTCTGGATATTTTCGAACTTTGGTTCAAAAATTCAATATAATTTTGTATTGGTAAGCGTTTTGCTTTAATTGAGTTGGAAACTATATTGAGGGGTAAGAGCAAAAGTAATCTGATTTAGTAATTGAGGATGGGAAGGTCATGCTTTTCAAAGTGTAGGGGAAGACTGATGGGTTGGCTTCAGATTATGTTGGGAGGGCTTGTTATAATTGTGAGCCTATCGAGTTTATTTAGGTTTTACTCTGCTGGATTTTTCGTACACAATGAAGATATATGCCGCCATTTCTACAATGTGAAGGAGGTTTATGAGGGTTTTGATATACGAGCCCTGACGGCTCGGGTTGAAGAAGTTCTTTGTAAGATGGACAGCTTGCAGACTAAGCTCGAATCAACTGTGCAAGAAATGGAGAAGGACACAGAGGGTTTGACTAAGACTAAAATTTCCGGATTGGAGCACAAGAGGTTTTTAGAGGAGGAGGTAATTAGGCCTCTTTTTGATGCCCACATTGCTCTTAGACAGATTAGATTGCCCAAAATTGAAGGGGTCAGAAACACGACTATTAAGGAAGAGCCTTTGATGAATACTTTTGTGATTGAGGAGATTCGGAAGTACATTACTCCAAAAGAGAACAGAGTTGGCAAGGTCAATATATACGGAACAGGGAGGATTTATAACACGATAGGGCACGCTTGTGTTTTATTGAAGAAAGAGTTGGAAGAGTATATGGATTATGACATTGGATCTTACTGTAAAGACGATTGGAATTTGGCTCAAAAGCTAATGATTAATGGGTGTGATCCTTTGCCCAGGAGACGGTGCTTGACAAGGGCTTCTAAGCTCTACCAGAAGCCTTACCCTATTAACGAGTCCCTATGGAGAATACCAGATGGTAGAAATGTTCGGTGGAGCAATTATCAGTGCAGGAACTTTGAGTGCTTATCGAGCAAGAACCCCAAACGAGGTTATTCAAAGTGTACTGGATGTTTTGAAATGGAGAAGGAAAACCTTAAATGGATCACTAACACCTCGCTTCCAACAGATTTCCTCATCAAAGATATTCTGGCATTTAAGCCAGGGGAGGTAAGGATCGGACTAGATTTTGGTGTCGGTACAGGGACATTTGCTGCACGGATGAGAGAACAAAACGTTACAATTATCTCAACTGCTCTGAATCTTGGGGCTCCTTTCAATGAAATGATTGCGCTTAGAGGTTTAATTCCTTTGTATGTGACATTAAACCAACGCCTCCCATTCTTCGACAACACCATGGACTTGATCCATACAACTGGATTTATGGATGGCTGGATTGATCTGCAATTGATGGATTTTATTCTATTTGACTGGGATCGTATTTTAAGGCCAGGAGGCTTGTTGTGGGTTGATCGTTTCTTTTGTAGCAGAAAGGATCTGGATGATTATATGTACATGTTTCTGCAGTTCAGGTACAAGAAACACAAGTGGGCTATCTCTCCTAAATCCAAGGATGAAGTTTTCCTCTCTGCACTGTTAGAGAAACCTCCTAGATCTTTGTGATCATTCCATTTTTGTCGCTTTCATTACATCATGTAATTGTTTTGAGTTTTGAACATGCTTGGAATTTATTATTTTCGTGTTGGTAAATGCTGTTCTTTGTTGATTGATGACTGTTACTTGTGTTATTTTCCTTTTTTCTTTGAAGAACTAGTTTAAAAGCAGTCTGAATTTATGCATGAGTTAGAATTACCAATGAAAAATGACGTGCTTCTTCATTTTCCCTTTTTGCCCTTTTCGTCGAGACCACTTATCTGCTTAATTGCTTAGAATTTCTATTACCATCTTAAAAGTGCAGATACGGAGTTCAGGATCAGTTGACTGTTGAAGCTGAAGCATAGTCGGTGGATCCCACTCCAGGAAATCGCATATGTTCGAAACTGGCTTTCTTAGACTAGCTTTATGCAATTGTGAAAATGGTTTTTCCTCAAATTACCTAAAAGCATCGACATTAAGATCTAGAGACCTTCTTTTGGCTTGACCTCGACAACATATTAGGTCCTCAGTCAGAAGTAGCTAAGTGATTGTATGCTTATACAACACCTATGCTGTTTTTGTATTTGTCTAACTTAGTGTTCATGCACAAAAAATTGGATTTATGCACAATCAAATCAGTTGAGTGTATGATGCAAGGTAATTAATGAAACAGTTAATAATAAGGGGTTTGGGGACCTAACCACTAAAGGCGGCGACAGTGGCCATAGAACTTTATTAATGAAAGAGTACAAGGTAATAGGAGAGAGAGAGAGAAAGTACAAGAGTACGCTTAAGGTGAGGTGAGATGTCTCTCAGGTGTAGAGGGGCTACAATTTATAGGCATAGATCATAGCTAAGGCAGTGACGTGAAGAGCATGCTACTAGACTTTTGGGAAGGATAGCTACAATTAAGGATAGGTGTCTTCGCGTAATGACTATCTCGATGTTTACTCCCCACGTGCGTTGATCTTCCTAGACTCTTGAGCTTTGTATTAGGCTGAGGCCATTACCTGAGCCCCATGATTTGGGCTTAGGCGTGGTCCAAATCAAGGCTCATCATTTGCCCCCATGCCACAAGCCCAAGTAGTGATATGGGGAAAAAACAAAGCGAGCTACATTCTAAGGGAGATATACGAGGGCATTTGCGACAACCACATTGAAGCTCAAACCTTCGCCTATAAAGCACCAAGGCAGGGGTATTTCTGTCTCACAATCATCAAGGATGCGAAGGAGCTGGCTAAGAAATGCAAACATGTCCCACTGTCCTCCAGAGCTCCTCACCATGGTGATAAGCCCTAGCCTTTCCAGCAATGAGGATTGGATATACTTGGGCCTCTTTAATTAGCACGGGGCAGTGCAAGTTCGCCATAATATGGGTTGACTATTATGGGCCAAGGTGGAACCCCTCGTAGGGATCAAAGAACAGAAAATCCAAAACTTCATTTGGAAATCCATAGTTCGCAGGTTTGGCATTCTGAGGGATCTCGTCTCAGACAATGGAAGGCAATTCGAGAATTCGGCGTTCAAGGGATTCAACATCGAGCTGGGCATAAAGAATTACTTCTCTGCCCAGCTAATCCATAGTCTAATAGACAGGCAAAAGTCAACATCTGAGCTATCAAAACAACTCTGAAGACTAGACTTGAAGCTTCAAAAATCCAGTGGGTAGAACATCTGCCAAGGGTGCTATGGGTTTTAGAGACCCATTGTTAGAACAATCAAGAACGAGACACCTTTTGTTCTGGCCTATGGCATAGAGGTAGTAATTCTTATTGAAATAGGTGCTTCATCTCCACAGACAAAGCTTATAGATCCACATCAGAACGATAAGTCATTGCTCGTTAATCTCGACTTGCTAGATGAGAAAAAGAATAATGCCCTACAACGCATCTCGGACTATCAAAGAAAGACAACACGAAACTACAATAGAAAGTTAAGCAAAGAAGTTTCAAAGTAGGAGATATTTTCTTAAAGAAACTCCTAACTGGGAAAGACCCTGCTTGTGAAAAATTAGGACCCAACTGAGAAGGACTGTACATAGTCACAAGGGTGATCAGGCCAGGAAACTATGAACTGCAAATTGAAGAGGAAAAAACCCTACCTCACTCGTGGAACATAGACCACTTGAAGAGGTTTTACCAGTAGGAGGGTGTAGCAGGGAAAATCGAAGATGGGACATACCTTGTAAAGATTTTCAATCAGTGAATGAAAGATTCGTTTTTCAACTAAATATAGTTAGAGAATCAGCTCATCCCTTTAAAAGAACAAGATGAGCTCTTAAGCTCATAAGTGAACGATGAATTTTTCAACTCATAAACATACGATGAGCTCTACAAATCATAAACATACGATAAACTCTTAAGCTCATAAATAAACGATGAGCTCTTCAGCATTTGATGAGCACTTAAGCTCATAAATATACGATGAGCTCTTCAGCTTATAAACACTCAATTTGAGCTATTCAACTCATAAATACTCCATGAGCTCTTAAGCTCCTAAAATCAATATGAGTTGCTCAGCTCATTAACACTCAAGATGAGCTCTTTAAGCATATAAACGCTGCAATGAGCCCACGTCTAGGGGGCCACATAGACCTCAGACCTTAGACTTGGCCCCATAAACAAGCAATTTTAAAACAACTGCTCCCAGAAGCCTAGTACCCTTCTTGAAGCAGAGAGGAAGGAAAGAGATATGTACAATCTCAAGCATAGAGAAAGGAAAAGATATTCATTGAAGAATTTTTTCCAAAAAAAATAGTTACTATTCAAAACCAAATAGAAATTATAGAGCTAAAAGTTCATTTAAGAAAAAAAACAAGAAGGCTAGGAATCTGTAGCTGGGGTAGAAGTCTCTTCCTGACCCTTAGCCATTTCAGCATCTTCAGTCACTGTGACATCCATCTGACGTTTAGGTAATCTAGGAGCCAGGTCCATCTGACATTCAGAAAGAGTAGGAACTGGTACCATCTGACCTTCAGGCAGAGCAGGAGCTAAACTCTCCATCTCGTCCGAAGCAACCACTGGCAGAGTGGGGTCAGGAATCGCCCTACCCACGGTTGCAGCTTCCTCTTTGTTGATTCTTCCCTCCTCAAATAAAGATCCCTCTTCTTCTCCAAATGGAGGCTCGAAGTCTAAGTCTAGGTCGGGGTATTTCTTATTGTCTACTTCTGAAAAGCGAAGTAGCCCTTGGCATAGGCAGTGGCATCCTTATCCTTCATATCAGTGATGGTGGCATCTCTATTGGCCACCTTAGCCTTCTTGACCTCGAACTCCTTGTGTTATGTGTCGCAGACTATGCCCAATTCTTTCAGGTTATCCTTTGCCAACTTTGCCACTTCCCAAGCATCAACCACATCCCTCTGAGCTTGCGCAAGACCATCTATCTTCAACTTGACCTCAGTCTCAAGCTTTTCTTTAGACAAGCTCAACTCCTTGACCTTCTTCTAGAGATCATTACTCTCAAAGTTCAGATCTGTAACCTTGATCTTAGAGGCCTTGAGAGATATTTTGGCGTCCTCGACACCCTTCTTTGAAGCCCAAAACTCTGTTCGCCAAAGCGCCATTGTGTATCACCATCTACAAAAATAGAAGTACATTCAAGTTAAAGGTCAGCAAAAGGATTCCACTGAGCCTGGACAATAGAGGTCAGGATCATACTGAAGTTTCCCTGTATAAGGTAGTGGTAGCTGAGGTAGAAAGAGACATTGAGGAAGCCTTCTATTTGTCGGCTTCAAGAATGATAGAGAGCATAACACCAATGGCTAAGTTCTCATCACGTAGAAGAGAGCGCTCACCTTTGGCCACGCCAGTTGAAGGACTCCCTAAGGTGCCATGAATCACCTTCGAAGGTGCTTATATTGAAGTCTGCACTGGAGGTAGTTCGGGAAATGAGTGATTAGCTTCGATCGAGGCATGCTGACCCTTGATTGCCTCTTTAAGCATGGTAGAGTTCTTGGCCACCATTGGAGGTGTCTTCTTGAGCTCAGAAGGGCGATCCTCGGTCTTCTTAGCCTCAACAGATGGCTTGGGGGCAGGAGGAGCCTTCTTGGAGTCTGTCCTTGTTGTTTTGGATGAAGGTTAGATTGGAATCAAGAACGACCTTAGCCTTCCTTTTTTCCAATGCCTTCGAGGCTCTGGTAACCTCTCTCATCTTGGACTGCTTTGCCTTAAAGATGTCAACATCTGGAGCCATAACGTTAAGATATATGCAGAAATAGAGAAACAAAGGAGTAACCCAGAAATTCTACAAAGTAGGATGAAATTCTAACAAAAAGGATAAGGTGGAGGTCTTACTAGGAAGGTCTTCTCCTCTGACTACAGTAAGAGGTACAACAGCTTCACCCTTTGCCAATGGAGGCCCTAAGTCGTGCTTAGCTAAAATTGAGAGCGTGATGAGTTTAGCATACTTCTCCGAGGGGCACTCCTTAAGGTCTCGAAGGAGGAGTCTTTCGTTAGCACTAAAGTCAAAACGAATACCTGAAACAAGAAGGAAAGACGTTAGCAATCGAAAAGTTAAAAAAAAAATAAAAAAAGATCTCAAGTAAGACACCTCGACATAGACTCACCCATGCTGTCTGGTTTCGACCAAGCTTGAGGCAAAACAAGAGTATTTGAAGCATCCCTCGGGTTGAACTCCCATTCCTAGCTAGACACAAAGAATAACCTATCTTTCCAACCATTGTGGGAGGTCGGTAGGTCAATTATCAGAGGATGAATCTTCACTCATTTCGAAATATAGGGAAAACCATTGATAAGAGAAAACTTGACTTTGAAAAAGTTCATGAGTAAGGGGATGATGGGGAAGCCATCAAAGCCGTGTTCTTTTAAAAAAAAAACCATAAAGTCCACTAGGATACCCCAAAAGTTGGGGGAGGGTTGAGTTGGACATACGTTAAAGTGTTGGAGCATGAGTTTTAGGAAGGGGTGCATGGGAAACCTAAGCCCATTCTCAAAAGCAATAGGGAAGAAGCAGTTCTTCCTAGGAAGCACAGACACGTATATTCTCAGGTAAGCCAAATTTGGCAAAGAGGATACCTAGTTAGGTAAGGGTAATCCTACTGGTCCCTAAAGTGTTTAAGGTACTTGGAGCACCCTTTTAGGCTTTAACACTAAACCAGGAAGGAGTAAGGGAGCCTCACTAACAGCTCGAGCTTCGACCACGTTGACCCAGAGAAATTATCTATCTCATCACCCATATTCCCAAGGTCATTGACCTCATCAAGGTCAGACAAATCAGCTCTTTTACTCACCACGGGGGAGCTTCGCAGATCATCTTCATCATCAGAAGCAATTCGTCTACATCGACGAGATCAAATCTGGAGAGATTTGTTAGCCATAGCAAGGGAAATAGAATACCAGTGGCTTCAGAAGATGCAGACACAAAGTCACGAGGAGTGAAATACCCAAAACAAGAGTGGAGGGAAAGAATGTTTAGAGAACAATCATCAATTGCTAGAGGATCTAGACACTAGCGACCAAATAGGAAAACCCTAGCAGTCACTTAGGGGTCTAAGAAAAGAGGAAGACGAGATATAGACCAACTTGAACCCCTAAAATAACGAAAATGGAACCAAAAAAGGTGGAAGAACCACCTCGGATTCGAGGAACCAAGGGTTAGTTAGGAAACCATAGGAGAGAGAAGTTAGAGAGGAAACAAGATAGAAAATTTACCTAGAGAATGAAGACGATCGATGGTTAGAGTCAACTAAAAATACATGGGAAGTGTAAAGGAAGCTTCAGAAGTGCTTCAAGTAGTTTGGGTACTCACTGAGACAACTTCAGTGACAGAAGGAGGGATGAAAAAGATGGAATCACAAGAGTCAAAGAGAGAGATAAGTCTTTTCTAGAAAAAGTGTAGAAGAATTGGAAAAGGCCAAAAAGTCGAAATAGAAGAATTTTGGAGGTTTTTTCTACCAAGGCATTTAAGGTGCTTGTACGGTTGAACATGTGGCACAACAACGTCAAACGCGTTCAATAACAAAGGCACAAGTGACTCCTCACACGTGCATGATATCTAGACCCCTGGAAAATGTCCCAAGTAAATATGAGCCAAGCTTATCCATAGCCAGGAACGTTGGTCAGTTCTAATCCATGTCATGCAATACAAATTTGGCTTAGGACTGTGAGACAACTGATGATACCAAAAATTATCCATGGTTAAGCTCAGAGCAGAAGTAAGTAGAAGACATGCACCGAATAGGGGCCCACACAATGACATTAGAGTCTGGGTTCCCAGTTTGAGACAAATAAGGTCGGGTGATCGAGCTGAGCTCCGTTTCCCTAGCTACCAAGCTCGTGACCCAAGCTTAGATCTCTCAGCTCATGACCTTTAGCTTGGGAATTGCAGATCGGGAATCAGCACCAACATGGCCCTCGTGCACACTACAACAACAACAACTTGCACCTTCTAGAAGACCATGTGACACCTAGGGAGTATAGCCTTGCAATGATCTTGAGGGAGTTATCTCATCTCAATCTCTACCCACACAACTCACACATCAAATACACCCATACACTTATACAACACACATACACAATCACCGGAGAAGACGAGACAGAGAGAACAAACGCGATAGAGACGAAAGAACAAAAAAATCCAACATACACCCAAATCATTACAGTGGATTACAGAGAGACGGATAGAGCAAACAAATATATATTAAACTTGATAAAATACAAAAAAAAAAGAAAAAAAGAAAAAAAGTGAAAAAATGCTTGGATCTAACGAAGAAAAAAAATCCAATACACCCAAATCATTAATGATGAAAAAAAAAGTGGCAAAATGCTTGGATCTAACCTAAATACATCAGATCTGTAAAAAAATTGATCTAGATTTGATCTGAACCAACTCAGTCATCCAAGATTTGATTTGAAGCAACCTAGCCATTGGAGACCAGTCGTCAGAGAAGACGATCTCCAGTTGCTGGAGATTATCCTTTCGAAGAAGACAAAGCATGTGTGTTGTTGTTGTTGTTCCTTTCTTCTAGTTTTGCCGAAGTACAAAGAGAGTGATATTTGGGGAGAGAGAAAGGCAAAAAACAGAGAGACAAAAAGGCAAAAAAAAATACCTTTTATACTAGGAACTTATTTGCTGCTAAGGAGGTTCAAAGGGAAGATCTCATTAATGAGCAAATGGTGTTCTCTGTGTTTCTTTTTTTTCCTTCCTTTGCCTCCAAAACACCCGAAAACAAGCTGGGCATGTTTTCAAACTTCCCTCTTTTTTCTGAAAACTGAAGAACATAAAACCAAACCAAACAGTTTTTCATTGTTTTTAGAATTTTGAGAACAAAAAAATAGTTTTTGAAAATCAAAGGGTTATGTGTCATTTTTAGACTTCAATAAGGTAATATACAATGAGGTAAACCATAAGGGATAAAACGAAGTTTGCTCTAAATTTTAAGCCCAATTCATTACACACACAAAAAGGGACTCATTAATCTAAGACCACACCAACAAACATGACCAATTAACACACCTATAATCCATATTGAATATCCCCTGAAGCCCCACCCATCAAACTCAACCCACCCACACAACTTATTTCCACCTCTCCCCCAGCCATGATCACCTAAATATTCAAATCAAAATCTTCAACTTTCAAATATTTAACTGAAACTATCGAAATACAGAGCCTACAAAACTGACACATAGTACAAAGTTAAAATACTTCTTCTTTTTTTCACAACGCCCAGGACAAAAAATCTATTTGTTAAACCAAAAAATTTAAATTAAGACACAAAAAAAAAAAGGAAAACTTTGAAATGAAAAAATAAATAAGATAAAAAAACATGTTAATACCAACATAAAACCCATTCAATCCACAACTCAAATAAGTGAAAACCTCTGGGGATTTCAGGATGAAAATAAAAACACCGAGAAAAAGACCATGGACACTTGGGTTCCCATCCTAAGAGGAGAGCCCGTAGCAATAACTTCTTTGATGTTTGACATGGAGCAAAGCACTTTAAATCACTTGATTGATGCATTTTGGATGAAAAGTGTATAATGACCTTAAGAATCCAGTTTCAAATACTTTGGGATGAAGTTACAACATAGGCATTAGGAAAAGAAATTAAAGAACTTTAACTAAAACATTTGAAAATCACCAAAAACTAATCATGATGTTCATATTACATTGCACTTGAAAATAACAAAAATAAACCCCTAATCGCCCCTAAAAAAGTTAAACTTGTAACTTTCATAAAGTAAGCAAAAATATAAACAAATGATGAAACTTCACATCAAGTAATTGGTCTCACATAAAACCACATTGAATATATCGATCAAAGGAAGATGAAAAGTTTTGGTAGTGTTCAAGAATATAAAAAAATGGTAAAATTGACACAAAATTTGAGAAAAACTCATGTCTTGCATGACAGAGGGAATTTCTCTCCATAACACCAATTTTGACGACATATAAACAATAGCTAATGGAAATTTTCGGTACGGTACTGCTAAAATTTTGAGACCACTGATTTAATTGTTATGGTTAATTTTAAGAGAAGGGTACCGGTTACCTGCTGAAGGGGTAATCATGGTTTTACTAAAAAACTAAATAATCTCATACCAAAAAAGTAGTAACATAATCCAAAATGTGGTAAAATCACCTTCAAAAGTTTAACCTATCGCAACAATAGTATCAACCCTAAAAATTGGAATCCCACCTATAGCTCCAGATCCCCAAAAGGTTGGAACCAATCCCAAAAGGTAGTAAGCCAAGTAACCCAAAAGTTGGAAGCTGACTCAAGAGGTTATAACCTAATCCAAAAAAATTAGAATCCACCCAAAAAGTTGTAACTTAATCATTCATAAAAGTTGGAACCCCTAAAAAAAATTGGAACCCAACCTAAATAAGTTAGAACCCACCCAAAAAAAGTTGGAATTCACCCAAAAGTTGTAACCCAATCATAAAAGTTGGAACCCACCCCCAAAGGTCGTAACTCATACTAAAAAAATTTGATACCCAACCAAAAAAGTTGGAATCTAATCTAAAAAGTTAGACCCCATCCCACAAAAGTAGTAACGTAATCCATTATAAAAGTTAAACCCCTATCAAAAGAATTGGAACTCAACCCAAAAAAATTGGAACCAACACAAAAAAGTTGGAATCTACCCAAAAGTTGTAACCGAATCATAAAAGTTATAACCCAACCAAAAAGTTAGAACTTGAACCCATCCCACCAAAGTTATAACCTAATCCATCATAAAAGTTGATCTCCCACTAAAAAAAGTTGGGACTTAACCAAAAAAAGTTGGACCAAATTTCAAAAAAGTTGGATCCTCTAGAGAAGTTGGAACCCACACCAAAAATGTATCAATTATAAAAGCTGAACTCCTACCAAAAAAGTTAGAACCCAGACAAAAAAGATATAAATCAACCTAAAAAAGTTGGACCACTCCAGACAAGTTGGAATCCACACCCAAAATTTATCCATCATAAAAGTTGAACCCTCATACTACAAAAGTTGAAACCCAACCCAAAAAATTAGACCTTGTAACTCTGTAGAATAGTTTAAACCCACCCAAAAGTTGTAACCAAATTAGAAAAGTTGGAACTTACACATAAAAAATTTTGAACCCAACCTAAAAAAGTTGGAGCCCATCCCAAAAAAGTTGGACTCATCCCCTAAAAGTTGAAATACCAAAAATTTGAAACCAAACCCCAAAAATAGACGTAATTCAAATTCAGAATTATAAAACTCAGGTAAAGTTAAATTTTTATGAAAAATAGCAAAACAATAATTAGCCACTACAATACGGGTTAAAAACATGAATTTTTTTAGAACTCAAATGACGAAACGGACCTCACCATTGAATTCGTCTTGTAAAATATAATTACCTAGTCGGGTGTCGCGTGACCTAAATAAACGAGACCAACAATTAAATTCCAAAAAGTGAAAAATAATTTAAATTTAGTTCAACTAAAAATATTTTGAACTTGAATTAGGACAAAATTTAATTGATTCGGAAAAGAATCGAACTCAGGAATGAAGGATGTATGGCACAACGTGGGCCAAGTATTCCAAGGAGTAGAAACAGGGAAGAAAATTATATTTTCTCCCCACTGTTTCAGCTGGGTCTCTGAAAATAGAGAGGAGGGAGAGGGAAAGGAGAAAAATCAAGATTTTTAATTTCTCTCTACAATCTAGAGCAAACCATTGGTCGAATAAACTTGGGCCATAAATTAAAGTTCTTCTACGTGATGAGGGCTACACCTACATACCACAAAGTATGGATTTTGATGAATTTCAAAAGACAAAATTTGGGAAAATCAAGAGCTAA